ATCCTCCATCACAACATACCTCAACTTTCTGCAATGCATTCGTAGGTTCAAGAGGCGGTGTTCGTGATGGTCGTTCCTTTGAGGAAGAAGTCAATCCAAGTCTTTCCCTCTGCTCCAAGTGGTTACCTTTTCTATGCACCGGATCATCTGTAGTAGCAGATGCGTTAGATCACAGGTCAAAGTAAGATTAAAATTAACCTACTCACCAACAATTCATATGCACCAAATAACTGTTTGGTGCACAGTATAGATAAGACTGGGCAATATAATAAACAAAAATTTAGTTTCTTTTTCTTCCTTAATACTGTCCATCTTTTCAATTTATACCAAACATGACATGAGGCCACTGTTCTACACGTTTAAAACTGAACTTTTATCATTGATATTGATCAAGAAGACGACAGTACCTCGAGTGATTACAGGCCCTTTTATTGGAGGACCCTTTTTAGGCTTCCATGTCTTCGAGAATATGCCCCCAAGATTTCCCATCAGTTTCTCGCCCTAAAAGCAATTGGTCAATAGCTTTACTCTAAATACCAATCAGATAAAGCATAGACAACAACATTTATACCTAATCACATGTGAAATTGATAATGCAATCAATATAGCAGTTACGTACAAACCTATAAAATAACTCTAATTTTATTTATTTATTGAATTATCCATCAGTTTAGTTAAGATTGAATAAAATGCGTCATGCAATAAATTAGTTCTTAGGGAAACTCCTAAAAACAGGATGAACATGAAGCCACATATAATCACCACCCACCAAACTCTTATGAAAGCTACTTAGAAAGAATGATATTAAAATAGTAAGTCACTACTAAATCAAGAGTTACTTTCAAGATAAATAATGTTTTCACTTTAAAGTAAGAAAAAGTAACTAATCTAAACATGATTTGGAATTAAAAGTAACTTTTTACTTCCTTTCAAGCACAGCTAAACATGCGCAATCGTTCATGCCGAACCAGAATATGAGTTGCCAAGTTGAGAAGTTGTACCCTACTAAGGTCATGGTCCATGTCAGCAGCGACCATGTGGGTTCTCGTAATTTGCTCTCCCTGCTGATGTAAGGTAACTAAAGTTTTTGTAGCATCTTCCCTTATGTCCTCTGCAATCTTGAGGCAATCGTCGACAGTCTTTGTAGTCTCTTCAGCCTTATATACAGAATAATTTTCCAATTCCTGTACACTCTGGGCATCGAATCCTCCAGAATCGTGAAAATCGTTCCTGTACCTGTTTCTTTCTGCTGAAGTAATGGAGCTTTTATATGATGTGTTTCCCTTAATCTCATCATCATCATCATCAAAAAGCTTAGTACGTGAATTTGGGGTAACTAGAGAAGGATCCGAGGAAGTTCGCCTAGACGGTTCAAGGGTTTGCTTGTTATCCAAAGAATTGTCATCAAAAGGGTTAGTACTGAAATTACTGAGGACTTGGTCTTCTGACTTGTGTTTAGAAAACCTATGTAACGGAGATTTCTTATGACCAAACATTGTGTACCAACAAAAGAATGTAAGATAAATTTAGGCTTGGCTTAGGTTCGTAACCTGCACGGTTGATCAACAAATAAAGTCGCCGTATAAGACCCTGCTTACAATTGAGGAAATTGAAAACATAATCCATAAGAAACAAACAGGCAAAACAATTCCCATAATGATTCATTGAGTTTAGCAAATAGATCAGAGAAGGAAAGCAAATACTATTCAGCAAAACGTAAAATCGATAATTAAATGAGAACCAAAAACCATACAAGTTAAAAGATATGGTACCACACTAATGAACAATAAGCTATAATGCAAAAACGAAATAAGTGAGATCGAAAATGTTCCAGGTCCCTTTGTTTTCTCAATGTTGTAAAGAACATGCTTCAAGGAATCAATCAAATGAAGACCGAGAAAGTATTCAAATGGGGGGAAAAAAAAAACTAATTAGAAGGCTGCATGAATTGATCACACGACCCTAGGGCCCTAGCAGAATAGCATACATTGACCTTTTGTCTTACCTTTCTGTTTGGGTAAACTTATTAGTAACTTATAATTTAAAGTCAAAACATTAATTCAGCCACACTCATAGATACTACCCATTTATTGACACTTTTTCGTATAACCCACAACTTTTTCCATTATAAGTAACTTGTAACTTATATGTACTTCATAACCGAGAGACATTTTCTTTCTTTATTCTTTTCTGTTAATTTCTAGTAATTCGATTAAAAGTTGATCTTAATTAATCCCATTTCCTTTGATTAGCCAGACATATACTCAAATATCAAATCTACCACAAACCCATGAAATAATCAAGAAAGGGCGAAAAGGGTGCCTAAAACTTTCAACATGGTAGCAAAGCTATCAATTTTGACAAAAAAATGGATTATGATTTTTTTTTTTAAGACAATCAAAATTAAAAATTAAAACGCAGATTATGATCAAGTTAATCTTAAAAAAAGAAGCAGCAGCAGCAGCAAATTAAACCAGAAAAGGGGGACCCATACTACATGTTTACAAGAAGAATAAAAATTTCGAATTGATGAAAAGTAAACGGATCTTCATGAAACAAATCCGAATAGCAATCCAAAGAATGTTTCTCTTAACAAGAATACTAAAAGATGGAGATCTTAAACTGGCACATAAGCATAGAATCAACAAAAAGAAACAAATTATTAAGCAAAAATACAAGGTAGACAAATATTCTTAACCATTAAGAAAGAAATATTGGTGGTAAATACCTGAAATTTCAAAAGAATAAAAAAATTAAGACAATGGATAATCTTGGATTGGGAGGAACACCCAGAATAACGCCAAGAAATCTAGACAGAGAAAGGAAAAATGATATCGGGTCAAAGTGGGGAACCGAGAATATATATATATTTGTCAAGAGGGAAGTTGGAAACTGGTTAGAAATTGCACCCTGCAAAGAATAGTCATAACTCATTAACTCAACATTTAAATATTATTTTATTCATATTCATATTCATGTTTTTCTTTTTTTTTTTTATTATGTTATTATTTTAATAACGAAAAAAATTCGCTCCTGCAGTTTTTTAATGTAAATTTCGATTGTTTGATAAAATCAAACTTGCCCTCTATTTGAGCCTGGCCCTAACCGATTAGTTCAACATCGGAAGTGCTTAAAATTCTATTGAGGAACACATATTTCGCTTCGTTATCTCTGTACTAAAGTTGTAAAAAAATTTACACTTTCGACATTTTTACTAATTTTCTTTCTCGAATCTAGGTTTTCAGTTTTTTATTATTTTTGTCTAGTACTTTTGGATATGGATGAGAATGGGTTATTTTCATCTAGAAAGGACCTTTAGTCTGTTTAATTTTTTTATTTTTTTTCTTGCATACAGAATTTATTATTTTTTATATAAAAAAAAAAAAAAAAAAAACTAATCTAGAAGACAAGACAAAAAGGGGTGAAAAAGAAAAAAAAATAAAATGAATTGATCAAAGAGAAGCGCGTTAAAGTGGA